ACCACCTCGAAAAAGGAAGGTGAATGTTTGCTAAAGGAGCAAAATTCCGGAGCGTCTTTTAGCCTGTGTTTAACTTCAATTAAATCGTCCCTACATTTTCATTCATGTCGAGAGTGAGGATGGGAATATTCTCAATGGATGGTAGATACACAATGTTCTGGCCCGAGGAAAAGGGGTTTTCTCAGGGTGAGAGAGAGAGGGAGAGAGGGAGATTTGGAGATGTGATTATAAGCGAAATAAATTACAAACTTCCTCTTGTGTCACTTCCCTCATAAACACACCCCAAAATCCAATTTTCACCAGTGGTTTTTCGACCAGGTTAAATCACAGATGAAATTTGTTCATCCCAATAGACAAACTGTGCGGGTGTTTTGTACATTAATGTGTATTAATTGCTCGATGGGAAAGTGAATGGGAATGAAAGAGAGCATACAAAATTGATCAAAAACTCCTCAGTCAATTTGTTGTTGCTGTTTTGAGAGGAAATTCTCACGATTTGCATGCAATCAATCTTCTATTTGGCATTGTGTGGGGTTAAATACATTCGACCTTGAGACCTTTTTAATCTAAATTGTGTAATTTATCCGGTAGTGCCACACACAAAGGTGTACATCATCAGCTCCATGTGAGTCTCGCGATTCAGTGGGAAAAGTTTTGATGTTGAATATAACATTGTTGTGTGTTTTTATTGATTTATGCACTGAGAGAAGAGGTTAATTTTGAGGAAATCAATTCTAAAATGCTCAAATTCAAGGAAACACGGTGGAATTCAAGTGCTGATGTCACTCAAAAGGTTGTTTTTTATGGATTAGGCGGTGAAAAAATGAAATAGTGCAGAGATTTACACAAATGGATATATTTTTCTGTGCACTTTCAGTTGTTTTGCATCCTTAAATCCACTTTAAATCATTCAATTTGATGGACATTCATTGTGCAAAATTTCGAATGGTGAAAAATATCAAATATGAGGAAGAAAATCTAGGCGAATAGTTCTAAATTCTGAATAATATCACTGAAAATACATGAAAGATCAGTCGAATTGTAAATTCTATTTGAGAAAGCAATTCAAGTAATTATTATTCGCAGAAAAATCTCATAATTGCTGTTATAAATCTTATTAATTATTAACAAAATGTACAGGAAAAATGTGAAGAGTTGCTTTTTACGAACTCTTCAGAAAGAAAGCAAAAGAAGACTATGAAAAACCGAATTTTTGTTCTTTTTATATCGTGAGTTCGTCAATCAATTCTCCGTATTTTAATAAATAATCAATTAAATTATCAGAAAGTGGTTAGAAAATAATTGAAAATTACCAATATTATCGATTTAATGGAAGACAACGGTGAGTTTAGGGAAAAAATTAGGGAAATTATGGAGTGATTTGGAAATCGCTGAACTGAAAAATGGCGATTTTGTCTTCTACTAGTTTTCGAGGCACTCGTTGATTTGCTTATCCTTGCTTTTAAGGGGCAATTTAAGCAAAAATCAAGCTTTTAGCGTTCTTATATTGTCAATATTAACTGAAAATCGAATAGAATGAAGCAGATTTATCGTGTAAAAGGTTGAATATTTTCTAGCTTTCGATGTCATTGAATCAATTCACTGTCGCTTTGTTTATCTATTCGAAGTGTAAATGGTGCAATTTCTGTATTCATTCACCATGAGGAGAGAATTGCAGTGTATAAGAGAGTTAACAAGCAATTTTTATCCATTCACTGATTTTTATTTACAACTCGCGAGTCAATATTGCGTATTTGGTGTGTAACTTGATGAGGACAAAAGAGAAGTCTCTCGTCGATGGTTAGATTTTGCAAAGTGTGGCAGTAAAGATGGGCGCAAAAAAAATAGAGGCACAGTTTAGAAGATATGGCTATATAAATGGAAAATAACATATAATAAAAAAAAACAACTTTCTCCGTGTGATGAGAAGAAAAGAAGAAAAGTTTCTTATTTTTCTAGCCACTTTGACCATCTCTGCTTGGTTTGGGGGCTCTTTTTTTTCACTCTCGTAAATTATTATTAATTTTTGCCACGGACACTTGAGCACACAGAGTGGAAATTTTGCTATGCCCATTTGTTGGGCTTCTGTGGCCGAATGTTGTGAGCGTGGGAGAGATGTGATAGTGAGCACGAGTGGGTGGCGCTGGGAGAGGAAAGTCAGGTACGACAGACTGGAAAAACTATCCAACTTGTAGTCTGTTGGTGAATTTGCTTGGAATTTTGCCGATAAGTGTGATGCATTTTCTCTGCTACAGCGTGGGCACTAATTATAGCTCCACTGTAGGTATCCAGGGTGTAGGTAGTCTGGGGCAAAAACAAAAAAAACCAAATATGGTGTTTGATTGCTTATCCATAGCCAAAACAAAACCCCCAATATGAGGCCCCTCCGCCGGATCCTAGGGATTCTAGGGAACTTTATCACTTTCTGGCCTGGCACTAATTATAGATCCACTTGGGAAATTTCACTATATCTCAGCGAAAAAAAATCGGAAAATTCTGAAAATCATAAGGATCCTTCATTTTGAGCCCAGAAACCATTTATCGTCGCCATACCCCGCCTCGGTCCTCCGTGGACCCCACTGTTAAAGGTCTTTGCCTTGCATAACACGATATTCCAAAATGGCTCCTCCGCAATGGGGCGGGGGGCCCAATGCCCATAAACTGCTTCATAGGGCAAGACTGAAGCCTTTTGAGTATAATTGGGCTATCTGACCCCGATTCCATCCTTGAATCCTGGCCTTAAGCACTTCTTCCAGGGTCTTTTTCTGCTTCTTTGGACCCAAACCACCCCAACCCCCGGGCCACCCCCAATGAAATGGGGCGAAAAGTTCTTAGGACACTTCTAGGAAACCCGTGGACCTTAGATCCGGGGATGGGTAGCGCCTCGGAGGGAGCGCCCTAACGTAGAACGAGAGCCAGTTGAAATTCAATGAAAAACCATACAATTTTAGGTGGTTTTCGACTGGGTCTCATTCCACGGTGTGGCGCTCCCTCCCAGGCGCTACCCATCCCCGGATCTAAGGTCCACGGGTTTCCTAGAAGTGTCCTAAGAACTTTTCGCCCCATTTCATTGGGGGTGGCCCGGGGGTTGGGGTGGTTTGGGTCCAAAGAAGCAGAAGAAAGCCTCGGAAGAAGTGCTTAAGGCCAGGATTCAGGAAGGGTATCGGGGTCAGAAATCCCAATTATGCTCAAAAGGCTTCAATCAAGCTCTGTGAAGCAGTTTATGGCCATTGCGCCCCCCGCCCCAATGCGGAGGAGCCATATTGGGCGATCATGTAGTACTAGGCAAAGACCTTTAACAGTGGGGTCCACGGAGGACCGAGGCGGGGTATGGCGACGATAAATGGTTTCTGGGCTCAAAATGAAGGATCCTTATGATTTTCAGAATTTTCCGATTTTTTTTCGCTGAGATATAGTGAAATTTCCCAAGTGGATCTATAATTAGTGCCAGGCCAGAAAGTGATAAAGTTCCCTAGAATCCCTAGGATCTGGCGGAGGGGCCTCATATTGGGGGTTTTGTTTTGGCTATGGATAAGCAATCAAACACCATATTTGGTTTTTTTTGTTTTTGCCCCAGACTACCTACACCCTGGATACCTACAGTGGAGCTATAATTAGTGCCCACGCTGTATTGGCAAAAACGTTTCTGATTAGATTTAGTGTGAATTTTTTTTTTGGCAAATTGGAGAAAATACTGTGAATGATGAGTGAGTGAATTGGGGATTTCTCGCTTCTTTCTCTCCACCTTTTTCTTCTTCTTCCCATCGAGTGTGTGGGCGGTCGAGAGGTCATTTATCGGAATTTCACTGTCCTTGATTGAGGAAATGGCGTTACGGTTTGTGATAGTTTGCAAATAAAATGATAAAACACACACTGTGGCAGAAAGAAAAAAAATGAAATGAAATGAAATGTGGGAAAAGAGGAAGAGAACAGGCCCAAAACTTTTGTTTTTTTTCTGGTTTTACTATTTGTTTCTGCGTTGAACAGCAGGAAAATTGTGCGCGCACGGGAGGAGGAAATTGTTGTTATAGAAGAATTCATTGAACTATTCGTCTAGATCGTCAACATTCGGGCTCGTCGACTTGCGTGCAGAATTGAAATTTGATTACACACCTTTTTGCTGCTGCTTTCTCACTCCGGCGGCCGGACAATGTCGGAGAGAGTCTTTTACGGGCGCTCCGCAGTTCATTTGGGCTGGTTTTGCTGCTCACGCGTGGGCGGATAGACAATATTTTTTATAGTGTTCAATGCAGAATTCTTGCCTTTTCACACGTCACACGAATCGCTGGATTCATTAGCAATCGACATAACTGAACATTTGATCATTACGTTGGGATTTTACTTCAAAACATTGACTTTTATACTCTTCATCAATAAGATTTTCACCTCTAGGATGCACTTTGTGACCACTAAGACAAAATTATGCTTAATTAAGCAGCAGAAGAAGTCATTTCAACCAGAAAACACCCTCCAAAGCACTTGTCAACTGGCCAGCATTTTATGAGCGTTAAAATCGCGTCTAGAGAATCAATCAAGCCTGGAAATGTTATCAAGATTCGCGAAAAAATCACTCAAATATTAAGTTTTCCGCTAAAACACTCGACAAAGTCTTTTTCTATCCTATTAGACGGATTTTTCACGTGTTAGTGGAGAGATTTGAGTCCTTATTTGACTCTGATAGATTCTTATATGCCATTTGTTATCATATCAATGATACTTGCAGAAGAATTTGCCTTACCACAAGTGCTAATGAAGCCAACGAACTCTTTCGTTCACTTGGAAATGCTTTTAGCACGGATATTATCACTGAAATTTATCGTCAACTTGTAATATGTGGAAGATTGTCGTGAACAATCAATGTGACACATTTGGAGGAGGAAGAAAATGTGTTGAAGAATTTGTTCATGATAAAAATTAATGGGGGAAAACCGGAGAATAGAGAGAATTGATGTGTGATTCTGAAGTGCTATCGGATATCTGATTGGCGTGTTTGCTTGCAGGCTCGCATCGCTGTGCTGCTGGGCGAGAGGAAGAGCCAGGAGTCTCTCAAGTCGGACTTGATACGTCGGATTAAGATGCTGGAGTATGCGCTGCGGCAGGAGCGAGCAAAGTATCATCGCTTGAAGTTTGGCTGCGATCCACCGACAATGAATGATGACATTAAGCCGCCGTCGGACGAGACGGCGGCGCTGGTGAGCGAAGTGGCGGCGGCGGCCGCGGCCACGGACAGCGAGGCGCCCTTCACGTCCGTGTCGAACATCACCTGGCGACAGGGCAGGCAACTGCTGAGACAATATCTGCTGGAGATTGGATACACGGACACCATTCTCGACGTGCGCGCCAATCGCGTGCGCTCCCTGCTGGGGCTCAACAACAACGCCGAGCAGCAGGAGGATAATGCAAATCCCAACAATATTAATGGTAATGAGAACAATAAGAGAGCCAGTGAGACTCAAGGTTTGTATCCATCTCAGACCCTCGCGAGGGGGTGACGACGTCCGCCCTCGCGCCGCCCACTAATCACGCCCCTTTCCCCGCTCGCTCGCAGGACGACGGACACCGGCTAAGAAGGCGCAACCATCCAACATGACAGAGGCTATGATCCTGGATTCGGAGGCCGCTGTGATGGCAAACTTTGAGTTTTTGTCACAGACCGACGTTGAGATGTCGGACGATGACGAGATCGGTGACGAGTTGGACTTGATTGGCGAGGATGGCGGCGATGTGAAGACGGCCAAGAGGAATGTCAAGGGAATGATCATGAATGAAGGTATGATAAATCCTGTGCAAGTGCGCAAGAATGCTCGTGAGAAATCTGTGTGTGTGTGTCTTTTCACAGTCTGAAAGCGACATTTTTATTACTAAATTCACCGGTTATAATGAAATTTTCGCTTTTATGTCTCGCAAATTGCGAATGGGTGAAAAAAATGCCAGCGATAAATTACAATTGAAATCAAAATATTGCACAAGAGAGAGAAAATTTGAGATTTTCGGTAGCTTTGAACTCTCTTTTTGGCTACTATAATTTATTTACAGTTCCGTGTACGCAAATTATGAGCACAGATTTGAATCAAGAAAGAAAATATTGAAATTGAAGGATTCCAAAGGGATTTCCTCGAGCGAAGTTGTAGATAGAGAAGTTATGCAACTGTGTTCGACTTTCTATGCTACGCCGAGAGGAAATTTAGGAACATTCAGTTCCTTTTACACACTGCGAATGAGAATGAGCTAACTTTTGCCGCGCAAAGCAACAATTTGATGGCAGAAATAGGCATCTAGTGTTTCTGAATTTTCGTTAAAATTAGCTTAAAATCCTGTTAATGTTGCGTAATAATTAGGATAGTGATTTCTCGGGCATGATTTCTTCGATATTTCATCATTAGGATAGAAATCACGGCGTGAAAACAGCTGATTGTGACAATAATCTGCCTAATTAATCAATTTCCTTTTGATTTAAGACTATATTGAGTGAAAACGATGCTTAAAACATAGTTTGCTAACTAAGAAAAGCGCCTAACATGCGATAAGTCTTTAGAATTGAAGGAAGATTTTGTACCTTCTATTAACTTTCTGAAATGTGGTGCAAAAGTTGCGTTCGTGCTGAGTCTTGAGTAAATTGTCAGAGGAGATTGTTGAAGAGATTCCTTCTGAACCGTCTATTGTTGCTTCTTTGCAGACGACGTGGACGCTGAGGCTGAGGAGGTTCTCAATGAACTCAACATGCTGACAGGGGGTGAGGATAACATGACAGGTGAGGCGCGCGGCGGGAAGGAAGGGGGCAAAGGAAGAGTGGTGCTGAGAATGTGGTTGCGTTTGCAGGTTTCACCGATGCATCCAGTCGGCGGAACATGATAGCGAGCGACGAGGACGTGGACTCGTCGCTGGGCCTGGGCGAGCTGGCGCAGCTGACGGTGAACAATGAGGCGGAGACGGCGTACGATGGGTCGAATACCAAGGAGTCATATAGGAAGACGTGGAATGCCAAATATACCCTGCGGTCCCACTTCGATGGGGTGCGCGCGCTGGCCTTCCACCCGCAGGAGCCGGTGCTGATCACGGCGTCGGAGGATCACACGCTGAAGCTGTGGAATCTGCAGAAGACGGTGCCAGCGAAGAAGTCAGCTAGTCTCGACGTGGAGCCACTGTACACGTTCCGCTCGCACACGGGCCCCGTCATGTGTCTGGCCATGTCCGCCAGCGGGGAGCAGTGCTACTCGGGTGGGCTGGACAGCGTGATAAACATGTGGAATTTGCCCAATTCCAACATCGATCCGTACGACAGTTACGACCCGAGCGTGCTCAGGGGCGCCCTGGAGGGTCACACAGATGCCATTTGGGGGCTGGCGGTGAATCACACGCACGGCCACCTCGTGTCCTCGTCGGCGGACGGCACGGTGAAGCTGTGGTCGCCGCAGGCGAAGGTGCCGCTCCTCAAGACCTTCACCTCCGACACGGAGGGCGTGCCGACGTCCGTGGACTTTGTGCGCGACGAGGCGGACAGGATCGTGGTGGCGTATCCCACGGCGCGGTGCGTGATCTACGACACGGAGACGGGCAAGGCGGTGGTGAAGCTGGAGCAGGCGTCGCAGGAGATGAACGGCGTGCTGGCCAAGTACATCAATCGCGTGATCAGCCATCCGCTGCTGCCCGTCACCATCACGGCGCACGAGGACAGGCACATCCGCTTCTGGGACAACACGAGCGGGACTCTGGTGCACTCGATGGTGGCGCACTTGGACGCCGTCACTAGTCTGGCCATCGACTCGCAGGGACTCTATCTGCTCTCCGGCTCGCACGACTCGTCGATACGCCTGTGGAATCTGGACAACAAGACGTGCGTGCAGGAGATCACGGCGCACAGGAAGAAGTTCGACGAGAGCATACTGGATGTGGCCTTCCATCCGTCGCGTCCCTACATTGCCAGCGCCGGGGCGGATGCGCTGGCGAAGGTGTTTGTCTAAATCACACACACACACACACAACACGCGCGTCTCTCTCGTTGCAATGCATATTTAACTGTAGACGATGTGTGTAGCGTTGTGTGGAAGAGTGAAAAAAGAGGACCTTCGATTTGGTTTGTCTCTTTTTTGGAAACCGTTGAGTTCTTATATAGAGTTATCGGGAGGAGAGCGAGAGAGAGAGAGAGAGCGAGAGATGCAGTTGCAAAAAAGTGTTTTACTGTGGGGAAAAATTGTAATAATGTCAAACAATTTATTTATTGCATCATTTCTGGGCCATAAAACAAGCAATAAAAAGAACTCACAAATATATATAGATATATATGTATTGGGGAAAAAGCAGTTGAGATAAAGATGATGATGATGATAATGAGAGTGAAAGAGGAGAGCTTTGATAAAATAGAGAAACACTTAATAATGCGAGAGTAGCCAAGAATTTTGGGAGTTTTCAGAGGTGTTGTTTTTTTTCTTGATTTTGAGTTGTGTTTCAAAAAGTCTCGTGGTTTGTTTCTTGCTTTGTCCTCTGCAAGTTGATTCGATCGGCCAATACATTCCAAGTTCTTATCTCCAGTTTGCACTGCCTTGTGTTCCTTCTTGATTTCCTTGGGATATTGATAAATTGAGTGATAAAAGAATTGGAACACTGTTCGAGAGCTTTTCCCCCGAAACACTTTCACACTGAATGTTAGCGTTTATTCTCATTTGTTTATGTTTTTTTTCTTTAATTCTCTTCAGCATTTAGTTGCTCTAATTCACTTTCTCAAGACATTGAGAGTTTCAAGAGCTTGTTTAGTATTCCAACTAAATGGGGAGAATTGATCTTTGGCTGACGATAATTTTGCCATCATGAACATCAAGATTTCATGAAATCACATGAATTTCTTTGCAAATAAAATATCAACTGTCGAAATAGAGCAAAAATGCGGGAAGAAAACCACTTGATTTCATAGTTCATTTCACGTTTACGTTTATTTGTTGGCGCGCATATAAAACTTCTTTCTGGCTACACTCTTGACACAGAATATAAGATGAAGATAGTAAGCAGAGTAGATTAATGAAAATCCATAGTAAAAAAAATGATGTCTTTTCGTTGCATTTCTCCCTGTATTTCCGAAATGTTTGCACTCCAAAAAAATCTCCCCAAGAAAGGAAATCCCTTCCAGTGCTCTTATTCCCTTTTCTTATTACTTCTATATTGTTATTAACTTTGCATAGTTGAGCATTTGTCATTCAATTCATTTCTGATCAATCACACTTTGGGTTTTTCCCTTTTTTGTAATGTGTAATAAAAGAAAAAACAAAAATGTTGCGTCTGTGTGTAGAAATTTTCATACAATTGCTGGGACAGAGAGAGAGAATCCTTTTTCCGGGCATTTAGTGGGTGAAAAAGAAGAAAAAAAAAAACAAAAAATGAAGCATAATAATGTAGCATTGAATCCCTCATGAGAAGCATTAACAAGTAAATCATACATAAATATTATCTCTAAAGTTAATGAAACACAAATTGTAATGATGATGAAAAAAAAGGGTGAGAAATTGTAGGAATATTTTCTCCCTGTTTTTTGCTATTTAAATGGCATATATTTTAAAAACTCCATGTGAGGCGAAAAATAGGCAGCGCGTTTCACGTAGAATTTGCATATACAGTAAAAAAAGAAAAGTGTTTTTAGTCATTTAGAGAGAAAGAAAGAGTAATGCAAAAGATTGCGCAAGAGTCATTGTAGGAAAGAAAAAGATGTCCCAGTTTTTTTTTGCTCTGAAACATTGCGTGGAAAGGAAGAGAGAAAGAGAAGAGCTGAAAACAGGCTTTTCTCTTGGTTTTCCCGGGAGGAATTGACGAAGAAAGCAGGAAAAAAAAGGATGTTCAATCAAATGTTTTATCAAAGATGAGGACAATTGTATGAATTAATAATATATTTATCTTGTAATGAAGTGATTTAGAAATTTTGAAAATATATTTATATTATTATATTTGAGTATAAATATAATTTTAATGGACACCGCAAGAGAGGAGACAATTTGAGAGGGGAAAAAAATCGTAGACGAGGAAAACACATTTATTCATTTACTATTGATAAATAAAACTATTGTACTATGAAGGGAAAAAACGCTAGAAATGATCAAGAGAGAAAGAGAAACTGTAATAATTGTTGCTATAATATTTAGTGAAGGACGAAATGTAAGAGAGGTGAAAAAAAAATTTTAGCTACATGAGAGGAGAAAACAAACTTTAAAAATATATCCGTAAAAAATATTAGCGGTTTAAAAAAAATAATGTAATGAAGAGAGAAAGTGGAGTGAATATTGCGACATCAATAACAACAACAAGAAGAGAAAAAAGAGTTGAGAGAGAATGATGAGAAAAAAGTGTAGCACTTTGAGGAGAAGAAAAAAAGGTGGGGAAAATAGAGAAAAAGAAATTTAATGATAATCCTTAGGTATCATATACTTTACATTTATTCAATTTAAAGATAAAAGATGAGAAAAAAAACATAAAAAATAATTATTATGATAACCGCAAATCTAACACTACAAAGAGAATAAAAAGAAATCTTATATAGATAAAAGAAGTAAAAAAAAAAATGTGAGAGTAAGTAAAAAAACAGTAAATTGTGTGTTTATCTGTAATATATTGTAATTTAAATTAAAAAAAAAAGATAGACGAATGCAGAGAACATTAATTACAATAAAAGATGATGAGAAAGTTGAAAATTAATTTTAGGCGTGACAAAGTGGACATTTTTCGGTTCTTTTGCCTAAACAAAATGAAACAAGAAACAAAACAACAAATAATTGTGGAAAGAAATTGCAAAAAATAATAATTCCGGGAAACTTTAAGCTTTCGCTGTTTGATTTGTCGAAAAGAGAGAGAGAGAGAGAGAAAATAATACAAAATATCAGAAAAGCGTGGACAAAAAGGCGACTTTCTCATATGGAAAATTGAGGGAAAGAGGAGAAATTGAAGGCATTGAAAGGAAGGAAAAATAGCAGTTGAAGGGTAAAAATATTGACCAATTTTGTATAATAACTGTTCCACAATACAAAAAAAAAAATACAAACTCATTAAAATATATTGAAGAAAGTGGCAAGATAAGAACGAATGAAGGAGAGTTTTCGCGTGTGAAAATTCTTGAGAATATGGCAAAGTTTAATTGATTTAGAGATGCTGAGAAAAGTGGATTTAAATACTCAGAATCTTAATTGTAACATGTTTAAGACAACTTCAGAAGAGAAAGCAAATAACAATTTTTTATCATTTCTCAGAAGAAAAAACTACTCATTTCCATTTGTGCGAGAGAGAGAGAGAGAAAGAGAGAAACGAGAGGGAAATGCATAAAAGAACATTTAACAAAATATAAATACTGTATTAAAGTTTGATGAAATCATTGCAAAACAGTGAAAGATCGTTGAAAGATTTGAAGAGAGAGAGAGAGAGAGAGAAATATTAATGTGACGGCAAACGACGAATTTTCAGTGGATTGAAAAAGAAAATTATAATAAAATAGAGAGAAAAAAAATGGAAAAACTTCATGATGAAACTGTATTGAACTATATTTAGTAATTATTATGATAAAATTGAGGAAAGAGAAAACAAAACATGAGAGATGATGAAATAATAAAAATACCTAACAATAATTAAAGCAAAATCAACAAAAAAAAACTATGAAGTGCATAAAAATTATTACGAGTTTTTTGTGCATTTTAATAAAAAGTGGACAGAAAATTGTGGTTTCACTTCTTTATGTTAATCATTTTTATTTCTTCTCTTTAAAAAAAACAAATTTACATTTTTTTCATCAACAGTGCGCGTCAATTTTGTGTGAAAATACATGGAGATTTCAGGGGAAGAGAAAAACTTTACAGAATGTCAGAATACAAAAAAAGGCGATTACAAGAATTCTCCGCACCATTCGTTGAGGCACTGATAGCAATCGGCGGCTTGCTTGGCGTTGGCGTTGCAGATGTCCTTCATCCACTCCTTGAACAGCTCAGAGTCCTTCTTCAGCACCAGATATTGCCCCAGAACTGTGTAGGCCTGGAAGAGAGAGAGAGAGTTTAGCACCCAAAGGACAGAGAACCTTCTCGAATGCGCTGTTTTGATTGCATCAGTTGAAAACCCCTCGGCGGAAAACGTCCGGAAGCAGCGATCTAACCTCACTCTCGACTTTGCCTCAATTTGTGCAATTATCACACCAATGCAGCCGGATGCCCTGCGACAGGACGCTGCCTTGGGGCGTGCAGAAGGGAATTACCTTGTCGAATCCTTTGTCCTCCAAGCGCTTGCCCAGGACATCACCGACGCCCGCCAGATCCGTCACGGGCTTCTCGCCCATGGGCTCCGCCACGAAATTCCTGTGCTTCTGCGAAGTGCTGGACATCTTCACTCACTCTCGTCCTTCTGTGGAATCTGCTATGCCTCTTGAGACTGTGCTCTTGTGGATTTGTCGAAGATCTCGAGCAGGAGAAGCCAGAAATGCCGATGAATCACACACAGAGTTGTTTGAATAAACGACGGATGACAAGCACCTTTGCTGCTCTCAGAGCCCTCTGGAGGGAATTTCACCGTTAGCGCGTTCCCTCTGAGATTTTTGTTTTCCATGATGGCGGTGCCGTTAGTTTTGCAGTGAATTGTATATTTTCGTGGATTTGGAGTCACCAGAAGCGAGCTCAAGATGACTATGAATATCTACTATGAAGTGATCAGGACACAAGATGAAGAGCGGTTCTCTCTGTCGTGGCTTGCAGCCACAAATCCCACTATTTTTCGGAATCGCGTGCGAAAGGCGCATTTGGAGACGATCCGGGTGGAGAAAATTTGGTAAATTGTGTGTTTTCTGGGTATCCTGGGTGTTCTTCTGACTTCCTACTGTTCTCTTTGCAGCGATGAAATCCTCAAGGTGCTCAATACCAGCGAGGAAGATCCTAATAAGAGGCTCTCCCTGCATTTGGCGGCAAATCTCACTTACGGCACTGTCAAGATTCACCAGAGAATGGTGGACAATATTTTGGGTATTTTAACGCAATTATCTTCTCTTTAGCTGCCGAAACTGAATGATTTTCTCTTGCAGAGGATGTCACACAATTCATGACCATTCAGACATTCGTTCAGAACACTTTGATGCGCCAGGAGAAGCCCAAGAAGTCAAAACCTGCAAAGAAGCGCGGAAAGAAAGCAAAAAGCTCCGGAAGCAAGCAATGCACGCTTCCAGATTTTTCAGAGCTTACGGATCTTTTAGAACCTCCTGTGGATGATAGCCAGGACGATAGTCTCCCAGAAGCCCTGTTCAACACCACAAATGATCTCATAACGCTGCGCGAGGTGGAATTGTCGACGCACCATGAAATTTCGGACATTGATGATGACTTTTTCGGGGAGTTGAACTTGAACTCACAAGAAGCGAGTTTCTTCAAGGATTTCCTGGACAGGAGCTTCCAGTCTGTTATCGCGGATTCCACGTTCACTGTTGAGGCTCCTAAACATGAGACGCCGTCCAGGGACTCTCCAATCACTGGACTGACCATGATTCCGACGCTTGAGAGTCCGGAAAGTCCTCAAACGCCTCAAACGCAGCAAAGTGTCTTCCAGTATGAGGAAATCCCTTTGGTGGCTTCACAGCTTCCGCTTTCTCCGCCAGATACAGTGTCTGAGGACGAGGAGGAATTTGTGCCGGCTCGGAAGAGACGCAAGAAAACACTGAAGACAGACAAAGTGATGAGAATTTCTGATACTCAGCATTTGCACATGCTGAAGAATTTCAAAAAGCGCCAGAAGGGAAGAGTTGAGATTCCTGGCTTCCGAGCGGATCGTAATGTCCTGACCAGGCCGTGTCGCAAGAGAAATGCTGAGCCTCTGATGGATCAGTTCAGCAGGAATTGCAAGATTCGCTGCCTAGAGGAGGGATTTGAGGACTTCCTCCTGGACATTCTCTTCAAGGACTCCGATCCGAACAATAACATGCCCGGAGAGGAAGTGATGGGGCCGATTTTGGAGGATTTCAATCGGTTTGGCAGAAAGAAATCGACCAGGAAGCGCCAGAGAGAATTTCCACTTCCGCCTGCGATTGAGGAGTTTACTGAACCGCCTCCAGTTCCCAGGGATTTCCAGGAAATCCCGCAGGAGCACCGAGAGACAGACTGGACGCTGCAGAGCACTCTGGCCAAGCTCCAGACGCACTGGAACATGCGAGACGTGCTCGTCTCGCCGGCTGTGCTGCTGAATGGCGTGGTGGCCAGGAAGGATGCCGCCCGCGCATTTATGTCCATCCTACAGCTGGTGAAGCTCAAGATGGTGAAGCTGCACAGCTCGGATGACAGTCTGGAGATCAGATACATCTCGCCTGGCCAATAATTTATTCCCTCACTAATCTTGTCCCAACATGAATTACTACACAATAAATCGCCAGTTACGATGCCACAGCGGGAATTATGGAGGCTGAGATGACGCCCATGTGGCCCGTGACGATAGCCTTGAGCGCAAGGCACGTCCAGGGGCCCAGGCTCAGGACGTGCAGGATGCCGTCGAGCCACAAGCCCTTGTAAGTCGTGGCCACGATGAGGAACGTGACCACCGGCGCGAACTTCTTGTCCAGGTCGTGCCGAGAGAAGAGCCAGAGCAGTGTGGCCGTGGTGAGATGCTGCGCCAGGAGGATGTTCGACTCCAGGCACTTCTGGATGTAGATCCAGCTGAACTCCGCCCCGCGCGCGCCCACCCAAAGCATGAGGGCGCGCGAGAGGATGAGCTCAGCCGTGGCCCAGCCGAGGCCGGCTGTGATGAGCTTGCTGTGACCCTTGCCGGGGATGCGCGAGAGCACCAGCGTGAGCCCCATGAGATCGGCAATGTCAACAGTGCAGCGCAGGAATTCCGCCAAGGCGCTAAAGTCGCCCGCATTGGAGATGGTCTCAGTGTCTGGGAAGAATGTGGCCAGCACTAGCATCTTGCAGAGCTGTGTGAAGGCGTAGATCGCGCCCGCCTGGATGCACTTCCAGAAAGCCCCATATTCAGACCTGGTGGACAGAGAGCACGTAACCTCACAATTGCATTCTCACGGGATTTCCGGGGATTTCTGTGGATACTCACAATCCTGAGTACTTGTAGGTGAGGTAGTAGGGAACGTAGATGAGTGCTAGGCAATTTCCAAAGTGATATAGAGTCATTTTCGCGAGATTTCCCCGATTTTTCTCTAATTTGATTAGAGAGAAGATTCACACGCACGCACACACTCTCAAACTGTCAGCCCAATCAAAAGGGGCGCACTGGCAAGCAAGTCAATGTGTCACGGCTGTTCTGGCACGCCAGTTGCCCGACCGAGTTTCACGTTTTGGTGGTTTTTGGAGCTGCGAGTGCGAGGAAAAAGTCTCCCCTAAATAGTTCACGCAACACTCACGATGGCCGGATTGCTGTCCATATCGTCGCGCCATGTGCCGCGGAGTGTCCTGCGACTGACAGTGAAGCCCTTGACGGAGAATCCTGGTCAGCAGGTGAGTTTTTCCGCGGCACCACCGTGTTTGCCCGTGTATTTGGTTATGTAATATGCCGAAAAGATTTTTCCAGCGCCCCAAATTCCCTTTCCGCATGTGCATCTGGTGCCGGTGCGGCGGATTTGGTCGCACGGGGCACTTTTTCCTGTGGTGGAAATTGAATTTTCATCGATTTTTCTCCCATTTCGCTCTCCACAGTTCGCCAGGAGTTCCAGGACCTACCACCAGGGGCGTGTGCTGCAGAGATTTCCCCGCTTCCTGACCGGGAGCCTCGAGAGTCAGGGAAAGTGAGTGTCCGCGGTGTTTGCGGGTGCCTGAGAGAGTGAAAGTGTGGCGAATGGATTGCGCACAGCGCTGATGAGAGTGATTCGTCAGGCTCGACAGTTCAGAGATAAGAGAATTTGTGTGTGTTTTCAGGAACTTCGTGGACTCACAATGGATCAGCTGGCGCGCCTTTCGCACGAGCTTCGCGCTCAGGAACTCAGAGATTGTCACCGTGCCGCCGTTCGCGGACTCTGTCTCCGAGGGAGACATCAGGTGAGAGAGAGAATGGAGGAATGGCGCGAAGCGGAGAATCTCATTCGCTCTTTCTGCAGATTCACGAAGAAAGTGGGCGATTACGTGGCCGCGGATGAGGTGGTGATGGAGATTGAGACGGACAAGACCACGGTTGGCGTTCCTGCGCCCTTCAATGGCGTCATCGAGGAGATCTTCGTCACGGACGGCGACACTGTGCAGGCGAAGCAGAAGCTGTTCAAGCTGAAGCCCGCCGAAGGCGCTCCTCCGGCCGCCGCTGCGGCGCCGCCCAAGCCTGCTGAGGCTCCGGCTGCCACGCCACCACCTCCACCGCCGCCTCCCAAGGCCGCTGCGCCCCCGCCGCCGCCAGCTGCCGGCGCTGCGGCGCCTCCACCGCCCGCGCCGGCTGCCGTGCCGCCGCCACCGCCGCCCAAGCCCGCCGGCCCGTCGAGCCAAATGCCCGTGGCGGCGATCAGGCACGCGCAGGCCATCGACGCGTCCGTGAAGGTGCCGCCGGCAGACTACACGAAGGAGATCACGGGCACGCGGACGGAGCAGCGCGTGAAGATGAACCGCATGCGGCTGAAGATCGCGTCGCGACTGAAGGACGCGCAGAACACCAACGCCATGCTGACGACGTTCAATGAGATCGACATGAGTGCAATCATGGACTTCCGGAAGACGCATCTGGAGGCATTCGTGAAGAAGTACGGCATCAAGCTGGGCTTCATGTCGGCCTTCGCCAAGGCGGCCGCGTACGCGCTGCAGGACCAGCCGGTGGTGAACGCGGTGATCGAGGGCCAGGAGATCATCTACAGGGACTACGTGGACATCTCTGTGGCCGTGGCGACGCCCAAGGGCCTCGTGGTGCCGGTGATCCGGAACGTGGAGAGCATGAACTACGCCGATATCGAGCTGGCCATCGCGGCGCTGGGCGAGAAGGCGAAGAAGGGCGCGCTGGCGGTGGAGGACATGGACGGCGGCACGTTCACCATCAGCAACGGCGGCGTGTTCGGGTCGCTGATGGGCACGCCCATCATCAATCCGCCGCAGAGCTCGATTCTCGGCATGCACGGAATCTTCGACAGGCCGATCGCCGTCAAAGGACAGGTGAGAACTTGTTGTTTTGGCATTCTCTGGCCGGAATTTGCGCGATAAGGCGTGCGGGATTTGTTGAATCGCAAGTATTGGAGTGATAAGCAGAAGAAGCCACTCGACTTTCATCTATTAGTATCGCTGTATCGCTTAATTTGCTTATTGAACTGTTTTATCAGTTGCTGTTGTCTGGCAGATAATGCAATTCCTGAGACTTTGCTGGGAAACAATGTAGCAAAAGATTTACAATGTTAGAGAAATTGGCCTACATTTTATGATTCAATCTATTTTTAGACGATTGAAAAAGAAGTTTTGGATATCTTGTCAACTTTCCAATTCATGGGGTTGCCTGAAAAAAATGTAGGGAAACGCGGGGTAATTTTGGGCAACGCTTATTTCATGCTTTTGTGTAGTTTGAAAATGCTTTTGGCTCTGAAAAATGGTTCTTATTTGATTTTTCGGGCTGAAGATTAAAGAAATTTTTCTATTTTTTGTGTTTATTGATGAGAATTGAATCCTAAAATTGTCAAAAATGATTTTGATAAATTTTATTTGTAAGCTAATTCGCATCTTTTTGAGCTTTGCATAGACTAAGTGCGAAAAGTCAAAAAGATACTAATATATTTATTAGGAATAGAGAAAAACTGCAAAATCAATTGAGAGTCTAAGTTTGGAGCCTAAAACGCCCCGTTCTTCTGTAAGTTTAAAAGGTGTTTCGAAGGCATTTTCATAGTTGGCATTCAAGCATTGCTAGATTCTTGCTTTTATGCTTCATTTACCATTCAATATAATGTTTTGCGTCACGTTTTCTTCCATCTCGCCTTCAATTATCACAAATCTGTGGCGAAAGAGCGTGAAAAGTCTGCCTTATCTTGCGAAATGAAGTCGTTAGATAACAGTTATGCTGTTTCCGAGGCGCCTGACGAATAACGTTTTGTGTGTTTGGCAGGTTGTAATTCGACCGATGATGTACATTGCGCTGACTTACGATCATCGCCTGATTGACGGACGCGAAGCCGTGATGTTCCTGCGCAAGATTAAGGGCGCCGTCGAGGATCCCAGGATCATCCTAGCAGGAATCTAAAATAATATTGTTATGAGAGAAAGAAAGAGAGAGAGAGCGAGAGATGCAACAGAAAATTCGCCTGTTACAAAGCAGCAGAGAAGGAACAGAATTTCACAATGATATTCGAACGATTTTAGTGTTAAAAATTAATGAGAAACCATCATTAAATTAATCGATTACACATAAAGAAAAATGAAAATAGTGTGCAACAGTGAACTTTCTCATCCGTGAGTCGACTGTGGACGGAGATTTGTTTTTTGTAAATTTAGTTTGCAATCATTATAATTTATGTTTTCTCCATTTAAAAGCATAAGTTGATGAAAATATTTTGTAGAAAAGACACGGAAAATATTGTCCCTCGAGTCTTGGTTGCTTTCTTTTTTCAATCTCTTCCGCGTCGCGTCTAGAAGTGAATCTGCAACGGAAAGTGGTAGACATCAAACGACCATACGTGAAAACAGTATGAAAAAAAATCTTAAGTGAAGTATTTATTTAGCTCGTTTTCTGTGGCGCTGTAATTAAAGAGTCTGTACAGAGGCAAGTTTGAAGAGATGTTGTTTCATTTCATTCACGCGTCTTCTGTGTTGAGAAACTTGCAATTTCTGACCTTGGAGGACTTTGCACAGCTGAAAGGACGAGTTTAACCTTGGTGTGCAGCGGAGAAGGGGATTAATTAGAGGGTTGTCTCCAGATGAACCGCAAATCGTGAACACGGAAAGGGTTGATGGAGAGCAGAGGCGCAGCGGAGTGAGAAATTCACCCCTTTTGACGTGATTCTAAGGGAGTTTTTGCATGAATTTGAACCGCTTTTGAATGTTATTCTAATCCTTGAATGATATTCAGATGAAAGACATTTTTTTAGACGATGAACTTAATGTAATTATGTTCTTTTAGCAGTTTATTTTTCAGTAAAATTAATGATTTATAAGATATTTATCGTTTTTGATGCTTTTTTCCTAAATACTGATAATATATTTACGAATTTGGAACATGAATTCACGGATTTGGATGTCAGTGAGATTTATAGTGAAAGTTAAAGACTTTCAAACACTTTCAGGCTGTCTAAAAATCTAGTCATTTCCAATATCTTGTGAAAATGTGTAAAAGATTTCGCAAAATGATGGATTTACTTTATTTATACTCACTGTTAATATTTTTTTTAAAGTTGTTTTGCCATGAATTTCAGTTCTGCTCCTGAAAAAGTCAGACAAATTCTGCTGAAAAAATTCTGCACAGTTTTTTTTTTCTTTCTAATTCTTTCTCAATTTTATTCAATTACAAATTCATTACAATCTTTTCTTTTTTTTTATTACAATCAACGAAATTCCGTACTTGGTACATTTTTGATCATGATACAATTTTTTGTCCTTCATTATTTCCTAACAAGTAATTTTCGCGGAGTTTCAATCTGGTTACAAAATAAAGTGTTCAAAAGATGATGTTTTTAATATAATTACATAATTATACAATGTGATTCTGGTGGGATTTTTTCGCTCTCATTCCATGGAATAAAGTACATCTTTTTCTAGCCTCTCTGGCAATGATAATTCGTGTTTTTTTTTCCCAACAGGAAGCAATTTGCTAGTTAATATTTAATGCAGTGTTTCTCATTTTCATAAATTGTATTTTGCTGGATTTGTCGTGAAAGACGAGACGAGAGTGTGGGTTTTTCAGCTTTTCGGGGACACACGAGAATGTTCGTCCGCTATATATATTTTCGGGGTGAAGCCACAAAAGTGAAGAACTATTGCCATATCTTGTACATTTTGCGGGAAACATTAATGTCGCAAGTTTTATCATAACTATGAATTATTGTGGCCAATGATTTCATTATGCTTCTTTGTCCTCCGCTCACTCCAAACACTTCCCGATGGATTTTCATTTGAATTTGGCACTCAAATTCTCGCGTTCATCTTTCGTTCCTTTTTTTTTTTCTTCCTTCCATTTTATCGTATTATTTTTTTTTCTTTCTTCCTAAAAAAAGGTTTACATCAAGCGTGTGTGCGTGTGACTTTCTTCTTAATTGCATTTAGGGTTTGAGAAAATATGACTAAAAGAATATCTAGAGACTTACATTTAGAGAGAATAATAGTAAAAAAAAAATATTGGAACTTTTGGTAGATATTGCAATTTGATGAGAGTGACGCGCTTTTGGAGGTTTTTTTTTTCTATGCAATCTCTTGGCAGAATGTGTGGCAATAATTGTGGATTTTTCGCCCAACTTTGGTCGTTGGCTGCTGAACTCCTTGCCAAACAGCCATCCAGAAGGACTGCGAGTCCGGGTGCGGAGCAGGGGACGGACTTGCAATTGATGAGGGAGAATAATGTGATTTTGAGATACTCGAGGGGCTGCAGAAAGATGGCTGATGGCGTCTTTTTATATATGTGTGTATAAATGTTGTTTGCAAAGAAGAGGGTCGCTTTAGCTGTTATTATTTTCCTTCTCAACTGCTCTACTATGTATAATTTATAGCCTATTTTTTTTTTATTTCTTGAATACATTCTACGCACAAGATTTATACCGTTTTTCTTGGTTGCCATGCTATTCTTGCAATACAGTTTGTGTTAATTTTCCCCTTTTAAGTGGGCCAATTGTGATGGAACTCTAGCAGTTGGCAAATTTAAACACACTTTAAGACATTACTTTGCAAAGTTATATACAAAAATCAGACATAATAGCACTCAAAAATTTTTGGGTTTCCAGGGGAAATTTGTCGCCTCTGTGGAGCATTCAATAGTGCTGGTCTAAAGGGTTGTTGATGGCTACGATACAGAAGGGTGGTCATCAATGTTTTCATGTACTATTGAGTGGCTTTTATCTCTTATCATCACATTTTTGCTATTTATTTGTTGGCCTAAACACACAGAGCAATCTGATAAATGCTCAACAGAGGCAAGAAATTCTCGCTTTGGGAAACCCTCAAAATCCATTTTGAATTGTTTTCTTCATTCAACAAATCATTTTGATTTTCCTTTTTTAGTTTTCTCGCAACACGAAAATAAAATTTTAAAGTACAAAATTCTCAAAGTTTTTTTTTCTTCACTTTTCTGTCCATGCAAAGTCGCCAATTGTGCGCCAATTAAGTCTGCCAATTGTCTAATATAGAGACATTTGATGAAGAAAACAATTCAAAACAAGAAGAAATAAAATTACGTAGAAAAAAGATTATTAAAAATTATTAAAAGTAGATTTAAAAGTAGTGATAAAAATGAAAATTCTAAGTTTTCATTGAATACGCACCTACAAAATTGTCCGTTTGATGACGCGTTGTTCAGCCTAGCTTTGTTTTGTTTTCTTTTTTTTTGGTTTCGCTTAAAGATATCGAAAATTTCATTTTCGCATTTTTTGATTTTCTTGTCAAACGGAACATTCCCCTAAAAGATTTTTGCTTCTAATAAGTTTTCCAGTTTTTTTTTTTTGTTCTTTAAAGCTATTTCACATGTTTTCTGACGTGTTATTTGTGTGTATATTTTTTCACTATTGCTTGGTTTTTCAAGACTAAATTTCTTGCTATAGTTTTTTTTTGTTTTACTTTTGATCTCATCAAAATTTTCACATATTTTTGTGGCACCTTTTTTCCACCCCCAAACACCAAAATCTGCCAGTTTAATTGAAACATGTTAGTAATTTCCGTGTTACTCAAATGCTTTTAAAACCATAAAGTACTAAATAATTGGGGGATTTCTTGGTCAAATTTCCGAGTTTAGTTAGACTCAAAGGATGGGCTGTGACACCTTCTTGAGATTAGACAAGTCTGAGTGGGGCTTTTGAGAAAAGATGATGTCTGGTGGGCTTTGTCAGGGGGTGGCGTTGACGGTTTGGGGCTCTTTTGGCTGCCTGGCTCCAGATCGTAGAAAGACAGAGAGAGAGAGAGAGAGAGGGATTGACTTTAAGGGTTGTCCCGCGTTTTCTCTGAACGGCTTTTTCGAATTTATCGCTTCGTTTTTCTTGGTGATGTAGTTTCAGCAATACAAGGGCTATTTCTGACGTTTTTTTTCGCAGTTTTGAACTCTTCCTAATCTAGTTTTCGGACGGGGACCGTTTTTTTCAGCACTGTTGCATTGTCCTCGTGCTTTTTTCTGGGGGTTTTGGGGAGTATTTTTCTTTTGTTCTAGACTTGGGTAGCGGTTTGATGTGGTTTTTGAGTTTCAGGGTTGCAACATTTAGAGTGCTTCTGGTCAAGTGGGGTGGGGGTGACTTTGGTCGAAGGGTAGATGTCTACAAGACACCCTAATTGTATTTATGTTGTGAATACTAAAATGGCCAAACTATCGATGGTATTTCAAGTTTCTCCAAGTAATTTTCAAGTGGCGTCTTCGTCCTCACACCCCGAGAATCCTTCAATTTATTAAATACATTGTGAAATATTAATCAAAGTCCACCCTCTTTTCCTCGGTGGAGAGACTTTTGGGCATGGCGTCTGACGGTGGAATTGGTTAGAATTTTGCAAGGGACCTTCAGCAATTTACCACCCCTTTTGTGCAACCCATTCAAGGAATTTCGCATCAATTTGTCTACGCAGTGTTTTGCTTCGTTTTTTTTTTTCTTCTTCAAAGAAAAGTAAATATAATTTGTTAATTTTCATGCGCTCAGAGACGCTCTTCAATTGGCGGGAAATGATATGTAATTCACATTATTACTTTTGATTCCTTTCTGGTCAGCGCGGGAAGGATGGGATGAAAACCAGAAGGCCCACCCCTTTTGCAGCACTATTCGTCCAAATCTATTTCCGTTCGAAATTACTTCAGATACGGCCAGACCCTCTCCTGAAGATTGAGAGATATTTCAGCATGAATTTCCGCCCTTGGATGGGGTGCTGTGCAATTTGCTGAGGCTCAAATGCGGGAAATCTCAAGACTCCCAAGTGCGGATCTCGGGGTTTGGGACGCGCAAACAAAGACCTTCTCCAGACTGCGAGGGGACATGCAACGTTAGTCTTTTTCCTAATGGCTGGGGCGTCTGATTTGGGGTGCGGGCCAGGGGGGAAGGTGCGTCCAGGCGGGGGTGCGAGACTCGAGGACATGTGAGAAAATGGGGAGAAGGTGAATGATAATCACAACATCAAAACTTCGCGGTTCAGTCAGGAGTGTGTGTGTGTTTGTGTGCACGGAAAATTCGATGGATGCTCGAGCGGCGATTTGTTGGGCCGAAAACCGAAAATATAGGGGACCATTGAAGGCCGGTGAAGCATCAAAAGACATCACTTTTATCCGAAATCTATGGGCCGAGGATTTGCTTATGCTTAAGTATGAAATTCCGCTTGGAAGACAACCGATTGTGAGACGCAATTTCAATTAACGTGTACCTTTTTTGGGGGTGTGGGAAATTACAAATTATGTTTTTGCTTTGTCAAATTTGTCACGAAACGAAAAACCGATGTGTCTCTATCCAAAAACGATACTTTCGGGGTTTTTTTTTGGTTCTTATTATGCTTTTCTGGTCCATATTGAGAAATTTTGCTGTGATTTTTTTTTGGATAAAATTTTGGCGGAAGCAAAAGCGAGATCAGGGAATTTTTATACAAGCACTGAGTTGGATTAAACCACCCCTGGCTAAACCCTAAACCTCGCAGTGGCTCAAAAATAAATCTATGCTTTTCGATACCAAATTATTTCTTCAATTTGTAATTTCCCGTCATTTTTGCTTGATTTCAAGGGTGATTTGAATTTTGCGAGAAATTTTGCAACTGCCGCTCGAGTGGGTTTTCTTTTTTTTTTCTAACTATTTTCTAACTACATCACCGTATGAATATCATGACTTTTTTTCTATCAATATGGGCAAAAGATAAGTATTTTGGCAAATATTTTTGCTTTGCAATGTTAGAATGCAATCGGATTATAATTAAAGCTATAAAAATAAAATCCGCACGCAATATAAATTCTGGAAGAGATAAAATAGTATTAGTTTGAGCATTAATAAGTTATATCATCACTAATTAATTAACGAAACCTAATTAAACGCTATTTTTATTATTCAACTTTATTAAATCTGACCACTTTTCCGTGTAAACTGAATTTTGGCGGAATTTTTGTCTTCTATCTAGAGTGTAATTTTTTTTTTCACTTTTCTTTTGATTGTGCACAATTTTGAGGTTATGCTCTGGATATGAAGATATGTCCTAACCTAACAATTTCTTAATCCCTTCGAGTCCATTGAGAAATTGGAATTTTCGCCGTGTTTTTGCATGTTAGTTGGATGTGCAACAAAATTCTGTCTATTTCTTCATTGTAACAAATATAAATTTTCACACTATAAAAATATCTATGTTAAATATATTCTTTCCAACTTGCGTAAATATGGTTTCTCTCGAAAATTACTAGCACCAGTCAGTTTCGTGAAGATTCATTTGTTCTCTCGTTAAATTAGGATGAATATTTCATGTTTTTTCTTGTGGTTTGTTTTTGAATTTCCACTGCATCTTTTGAGGTTAGTTTTCGCTGCCCTATATATATAATTTAATCTTCCTTCGATGTCCCAATACTTCACTTAAATCTTATTGTTTCTCTGTCATCTCGCGAGATGGACTGAAAGGGATTAAGAATTATCGTCTATTTTGCTTCAATTTCGCTCTGAGTTTTATGTATTTTTTTTGGTTTTCCTTTTTTGCGTTCTAAACAGACAAATTGAAAGTTCTCTAAACATGATTTTGCCCCATTTTGTGAGAAACACTGCCAAATTATCGTGGTCAGCATTTTCTAATTGATGGAATAATAAAAATATCCTCAATATTCATGCATTTTCAGATGCTTAAGTAATAAGATTCGAGAATCTCTCATTTCTATGTGATTGTGACGCTTAATTTTTGAAATTTCGATACATTCCAAAAACAAGCTTTCCCAGGGGTGAAGAATTTTCAATTTTGTCTGACATTTTGTGGGCTCTTTTGATTGGCTTCTCTGCTCAGGTACAATTCCACCAAATATTTTTTAATCTGTCGAAAGAGTGTTCTTTTTTGTCATGTTCAGCTTCCTCTATCATTTGGTATTAAATTCAATAGATTCTGATTGTGTGGCGTCATTTAGTCAAAAAGAAGAAATTGTTGTTGGTAAAAGGTGAAATGATAAATAGTAAATGCTTAGCAAACGTAGGCTATGTTTGGTCTGGAGGTTAAACAATTACAAGCTAGCAAATGCTAAAAAGTGACTAAAGGCAAGTAATATAGGTAAAAGTATAAAGAGTAAAAAGATGATCCTTGCGAGGATGATACTTAGCGGAGCACGGCGTGCCCGTGAATCCTGTGAAGTCTCCGGTGCTGAGCTTTGGCGCGCTTCTGTGAAGGGGAATTGAGGGCGCTTCCCCTCGTTCTGCACTTCTCCTGCGCTGTGCGTGTTGACTGTGTTGGTGTTCCGGAACTTCTCCTTCGGCTGACTCGAAGACGGCTGCATATCTCCTCCCAGGATACGCTCATCTTTGCTGGGTGCTTCTTGCTGCTGTGTGAGAATTTCTCCTCCGAGGTTCGTCTCCTCCGTGGAACCGTGTCCTTCTTCAGGAAAAGATGCATTCGTGGTGGTTCTAGTGCGCTGGTGTTGGTGATTCTGTGGGAATATCCTCATGCATTCCTTTTCCATGCTTGTGGGCCGGGATGTCCGTGTTTCCGATTTGGTCGTCGCTGGATATTTCAGTCGGTGTGTGTGTGTGTGTCCGAGGGTCGGTGAATTTTCCATCCTGCTTCCTCCTGGCTGTCCCTTTTGGACTCTGGATGCTCTGACTTATCGATCCATTTCTCACATTTTCTCAATGGTGTCTCTTTGCGTGTCCTCGCATTTATCTTTCAATTTTCTTTGCCTCTCTTCTGTGTGTGAGCACTGTGAACACAAGATGGCGACTTGTTAGAATCTTCTTTGCGACTACATCAAGCCTTAAGTTAAGTTGTGGGGTTGCGTGTGGCTCTCGAGGCCTTCAGCCAATTAGCTAACAATTACGACTAAATTGTTAAAATGTGCTTAAACTTTATCATCCGCTAAAAGTTCACTTTTTGCGCCAATTCAACTTGTGCTCAACGCAACACTGTTGCGCTCTCGAATTTTCCGCTTCTGCTTTCGCTTTTTTTTGTCAGAAAATTAACACAAACTCTTTTAGAGAATATCGCGGGAAGTGGTTTTTGCTGTATTTTTCCAGGTGAATTTCGATGTGAATTTGACCGGATCCTTGTCTGCAAAGAGAAGAGACGCAGAGGATTAAGGCACTGATGGACTAAACTCGGAAAGTGCGTCACACTCACCGCACAACACTAGTCCAATTAATTAATGTATCAAACTAAAATGCTGGTCCTTTTGCTCTCTTTCAGATGATGATTCCTTTCGCTGGCTTCCCGGTTAAGGCACACTCAACTGCAAACACTCAACTTTGGATTGATGGCCAATGTCTTGATTTCCACACTCTGGCACTTGAATGGTGAATTTGGGATATGATCGGGTGCGGACTTGAGATGTTGAACGAGGCAAGGATCCGATCAAACTGATGCTGCTACTCGACTGTCGCAGCCAGCAAACGTTCCATCCGCAATTCTCGCCATCGGCCGCAAACCAGATCCACCGGTTCGCCCTCCGCTTGGCGTCACACCTGGACCAGAGCCGGGATGCTGCCGCGAGATGAAACGGGTTTTTCCAGATCGCCAGTGACCGTTGTCCATTCAATCGCCACCGGTGAAGCTGTGCGAATCTCCTGACAATTGATGATGAGATTCATCAACCGTCCCGTCTCAAGGGTGAGAACAATGCGATGTCTTCGGAAACTGGAATGCCTTCCTTTCTCGATCATTTCTCACACTCTGCATCTCTTCCAGACTGTGCCCTCTTCCCATAGCTTCTGGACCATTCTCCAGTCGTCTTTTGTACTGTGAAATATCCAGCTTTGCCAGCTCCAAATGGAAGCCCAGAGTTTAATCATGAGAGTTTGGCAAACAGTATTATTTCTTCGGTCCAAACATATCGCTTGAAATGGCCAAAGTTGCAATCGCTTTGAGATTTTGTCCACCTTATTGGAGAGGTGGGGAAACTAATAACAACTTGCAGCAACTATTTTCATTCCCATTTGATTGGGTTCGCTACATTTTGTCCCCTCATGCATTTCTGCACTTTTCTCAACAAATCGGCCAACTTTCTCAATTTCAGCTGACTTAAAATGGCCAATTTGCCCGTCATACCTTCTCTCTGCGTGATTTCACATGGAATTTTTGGCAGCCCTGCCGCACAGGGTGACCAGCCGATGGGCGTCTACGTGAAACCCTCGCAGAGTCCGATGCGTGGCCTGAGAAGGGTGGCGAATCCAATAGACGGCAATGACGATATGGCTCATCTCAGTTCAATATGTGATTTTCACTTTCACTATTCAAATTCCTGCCATTCTCCCCTGTGTTTGCCACCCTCCGGCTCCCGATGAAATCGCATTGTCCTGCATTGTTATGCACAGGAATTATTGGGAAATTAACAGACATTTGAGACGACAGGGTGGCTGTTTGGGTGGAGAATTGAGGCTTTAATCTTAAAAATTCTACATTCACACATCCGTCTTAAACAGCACATCTTTAAGGTGTTCACATCGATCAAATCTGTCAAACAGAGACAAATGTTCCTGCAAAGAAATTCTCTATAGAGTCTGGTTTCTGAATGATGATTTATATGTGCTCATAATTGAATTTGCATAGAGTTTTGCTACAAAATAAAGTTAATGGTCGTCATATCAAGACAATCACAGTATATTTCATGCCTTTTAAACTTATATAGTTCATGAACTGATCTATATTTCAACAAATTACACTGAATTTCAAAATATTTCTCTTTGTTCGCTTACAAATTAAAAGAATCAATTGAATAATCAGATATATCTTACGCAAATGAAAGGTTTTGAGAGATGCAATTTTGAAAAATATGTGAAAATTCAGTTCTTGTTTAGGATCTCAAAGCCAAAATATTTTCATGCATCAAATGACTTGTTAATATACTTGTTAATGTATCATAAATTTGGCAATTCAAAAAAAAATGGGTAAAAGTTTTTGAGTCATTAAATGCAATTAAATTTATTGATAAATTTTGTTGTTCTTTTTGGGGAACCGTTGAAATCAAACATTACTAATCATGAACTGTATAAAATAATCCATCAAATTTATTGTTTTCTAGTTATTATTTCGTATAATTCAAAACTGAAACCCATTTGTGATGAATTTCTTTTATTTATTATAGTGCCTTCCAGTGTAAATGTCCATCAATTAATTCAACGAGAGAAACTTCCCATTCATCTTTGTGATGCGCTAAAGAAGGAGAAAAATGGCGTAATCCCATGGGTAACAAATGTCTCTTGAAAATGTAAATCTTCTTACGGGGCATAGAGTGGAAAGTTGGGGTGATTCACCACTGCTTTGGGGCGTGAGATGATGGAGTGGGATCTGGCCAAAAGAAAAGGGTGTTTCTGTGGTTTTCCTTGCTAAAACACACACAGAAACACGCAACCCTTCTGGCCAGGAAGACACATTTCGGCCATAAGAGAGAATACAATGAATTGGGGATGTCATCTTGGCCAATTTGTAATAGAGGCAAAACCCATGGAGCCGAGAGGGATCCCAGAATCGCCACAGTTGAATCTGTATCTCGTGTGTGATATCATAATCCTTATAGATGGTTTGTAAACACCAAATAAAAGTCCTCCCACTGGGATATTCAGTTATCATCCCTTCTCCACCATATTTGCTGTGTTATTTTGCATGTCTTGCCAAAGGGACATATGCACGGAAACATGCTCCATCGCACTGTGAGAAAGTGAGAAAATTTTCTCCGTCCGTGTGCAATTTGGGGCCCTTTTCCCACGACTCAATTCACCGAGTTGACGATATACAAGCAATTCTCACATTTGTATGCTTGTTATTTGGAAATACAATATAATAATAAATATAGCAATTGTCGAGGAGAATGGAAAATGGACGACGAAACAATAAACACCCACAATCTAATACACAAATATTCAGAAATTCTCGCCCGCTCCCTTTTGCGGCAAAACAGGGGTATTTTGTCCACTGGAAATGCTACATAGGAAAATTGTGTGTTCTCCAGTGGAGTCCATTGTTCAATTTGTGTGATGAGTCCCTTTTCTGCTGCGGCATCGCAACACCACTCGTTAGATATATCAGCACTAAAGTCCACCCGAGACGCCCGTTCACCCTGAGGAGAGCGTCCTGATGGGGCTCCACCTTGGCCGCTCTGTCCTGGGACTCTTTTATGGCGCCAAAAGCCAGAAAGACAGTGATAATAAATGACGATTCTCACCCCCTGACTCTCGCAATGGCGATAGAAAGGGCAGAGGAAGGGATATAGTAAAATTTTATGATAGATGGTAAATGCTGCATCGATAAGGGCAATCATGAGGCCAGAGATAAGAATGGTATATTGTTAGATTTTCAATTGTTCGTCAGAAACTATTTTCTTTTCAAGATTGTGCGAGTTTAACTTTCTTTGCAGGGGGTTTTTTACTCAAAGTGAGGGTGCATAGTTTTATTCACTCCCTTTTTAATTACATCAGCATGATTTATTTGCCAGTAATCGCCGAGTTGTCCAAATGTTTGTAATCAACATTCGTGCTTCACATGCTGCCGCCTTATTTGCACACTTAAATGCCCCTCGATGAGCCTCTAGAGCGGCGTCTTCGTCTTCAAAGGAGGGCCAGGCGAGTGGGACGAGTGAAGAGGACGTGGATTGCGAAGAGTTCGCAAGGGGTGAGTGATTTGGCATCTGCGAGCTGAGGCAGCGAATGGAAGAGGGTGTCTCCTTCTCTCCATCTTCAGACGCAATAGCTGTGAAACTTACATGGCCTGGAGTGGGGTGGTGTAGTTATTATTTGGGGGTTACTAAGCAAGGCGTGGTTTGCAAAGTTTCAACCCCTGGCACCATAAAATCCTTATACTCTATTCCACACTTGGTGCAGACTCTGAAGAGCGACACGAAAGGGGTGAAATGATGGAGGGTGAGGAGAATGTAAGTCCTTGGTCTGACTGTCATTTTATTCTTGGCCGTATGTTATTTTGCATAAAGATGAGTCGACGAAATAATCACGTTCTAAGGAAACGGAATTTCATATTCCCTCCTCATGCTCGACCCTCATCTTCTCTCTATGGGGACGCTCTTCTCGTATAACGGAGAAAATGGAATTTCATTTCATTTTATTGTGCATGTCTCTAAAAGCTCCACATAGACTCACCCCCTGGGAAGAGGGAATAATGCGATATTCTTAGTCGTTTACATATTAAGTTTTGCTGAATGCTCCTGAGCGAGTGTGGGATGTGGATTAATTATTCCTCAGTGCTGAATGCCACACGAGTTGGGGTGGCGATGGACATAAAAGACTCCTCAAATGATAATGCTGCATATTTAATGTGTAGTTCCATTCAAAATGTAGAATCTTCGCCTCACTTTAATTGCTCAGCATGAAAATTCACAGCTTTAAAGCATGAAACGCACACTGTAGTGAATCTTCAAAACAGAAAAGAAGTTGTTTATCCACTCTGTCGACTTTGTCTTTTGTCTATTGGCTTATCAAATAATAATGAACAAATAAACACAGTGTATTCTTAAACATTATTCGAGTGCTTGGCAGCAATGGAAATAAATTTGATTACAAAGTCTCATTTATACAGTGCAGCAGAGATACAAAATAGTTCTATTCACTGACAACAGCAGCCAGAAGCAGTCTAATATTTGCATTTACAAATTAAGTAGATTCACATCTTCCCTTCTGCGGAGTTTGGGAACTCTCTGCACTTCATCCCCGGCAATCTCCCCATCCTTGCTCTTGCGATAATTCCGGGGAAAATTCATATATCGCCAGTTCAATTTCAAACTTTGACTATTTTAGTTTTAACACCCCAAACCACACAACACACACCCTCGTCCCCAGCACACATACAACCCACATCATTTCATATCTTTTGTTGGATTTTCCTCCCCGAGAGTGTCTCTGAATTTGCCAATCCAAAAGTCACCACCCACTCCAGCCTCGAAAATCAAATCTCAAAATTATGGTGAACTCTGCTCCGCTGCTGTGTCCGGCCACCCATTCTCCAGACACACCATGGAGAGCTCCATTTAAGGACCCTGTCGGAAGAAAGCTCGAGAGTGCTAAATTGGGGTTCTCACAATAGTTCCTATCGATTTCCTCAGGGAGAAGAGCAAATTTCACATTACATCCCTCATGAAATGTATATTTAAGGGATGTTGTGTGTTTCTGATGGTCTTTTTCAAAAATCTTCGTGTATTTCAGCTAATAACTCAAAAATTACAGTCATTCTTATTTTTACTTCATGCTAAACAATACGATAAGAAGAGCACTAAACGCTGTAAAGCGAAGAAAAGGAGTTCAGTGTCTCAAATGGAAGCTTAAAGAGTAGCAAATGCCGAAGTTTTGGCCTTCACCAGGACTGTCTAATACTAATTTGAATTAATCCAGTCTGGATTTGCGTCTAAATACTACAAATACAGGGCATCGACAGTGAAAGCTTCGCAACCGTAGCAAAGGTGAGAGCGAATATGTAGTGAATAACATCACAAGTCAATTAATCAATTGACCCAAGGAAGGTAAAGGAAAACGATGTCCTTATTGAGCGGGTATCAAAAAACATAAATCAAATCCTTTCACTTTGGGCAAAAAGCAAATGTTCTGGCGTTTATTATGCTCAACAAACCGAGAGTGGATGAGAGAAGAAGTCCCACAGCATTCTCCGGATCCCGCACACCCTTGGCCGGAGAAAACCCTCCCCCTGGGCGTCGGATTCACACAATGGAGAACTCCCCAGTCCCCGGTGTTCCCACCATCCAGTTGAATTTTCGCAATCCTTGAGGGATTCCTTATAGCTCAGAGTGTGGACTACAATAGTGAAACTTTCCTCCGCACTCAATATACCCCACGTCCTCGGCCGCCCCCGTCCCGGGGCTGCCCATGCTGTAAATTTATAGATGGCCACATGAGCATCTCACACTATGCCTGGGACGCAGAGAAGAACGAATCCGGAGCATGGGTTGGATGCTCAGAGACGCTTTTCTGCGCCACACAGTCTTCTTGTTTCGTTCTTCTCGCTTTTCCCAGAATATCGATCGCCTCCTGAGGAGCGCCCAGCTACGCCCATCCACTTACCCTCCCGAAGCGGTCATCCCGCCCGAGTGGGTGGCCCACCCTCCTCAACCGCATCGGCCAGGGCTCTCGTCTCTCGTAAGAACGAGGACGAGTGCGCTTCAATAAGAGTCTCTCTGCACTTTCAGCAGCACAGCGTCTTCTGCTCTGGTCTGCCATTCATCAGTACGCCACCCCCCCAATTCCGCCCACAATCACATCACAGACTGCCTAGGGACTTCTGGTGAAAATTGCCACTAAATCAAAGCTCAAAATGATGCAGTGTCTCCCCTGACAAGACATCATCTAATTGCCAGCCTCGCCGCAAAATTTCATTTTGTATTTTTGACGGCATTTTCACTCCTTTCTTCTCATCTGTCTGCAGTATTGAATTAACTGGATTTTGAGAAAACACTCAGTTTCGCAAGGGTTGCTTAATTAGAATAGATTTAAGGTGTCATCGCTCGATTCGCCTAGGAATATTTATTTAATTCTATTACAAATTACAAAGCGTCAAGAGGGTCTCGGATTGAAGGGTGTACGCAATGAAAAAACAGTGTTATATATGCTTCTAAAACTAATACTTAAAGACACACTGTTGTGATGCGAATAATATATCACTGAAGAAGCTGGAGAGCTTATAGTTTCGTATTTGGTTTAGGAAAATTTCCATTACGAGAGCGAAATAGTTGAGAAATTTGCCATAGTGTCAGAGTGTTTGAGGAGGAAGACTATGAAATCCTCTCGGTTTGTGGAATATTCGCAATATAATTAATGTGCGAGAGAATGAGAAATCCTTTCAAGACCCAAAATCCACATTTACAGTGGAAATTTTCCATTGCCTTCGTTGGGGCAAATTTCCTGGGCGATTGCTCATATCTTCACCATGCGATGCTTCTTTTTTCCCCACCACCGGTTTGGGATTGGAAAAGCCACTACGTCATAAACTGATTACATGTCTTTTCTTCGTTAATTACCGGATATTGTGTGAGTTTTGTGTACACTTTCTGATTTAGCATCGCCTCAATGGTGTACATTTACGACAGAATCTCACCCACCATTCGCCCTTTCGGGCGGGTATCTCACTAAATACGAGTGACATTGATGAATCCACAATTTATGTGAGTTGCTGTAAATAAATATCTCTATACACGCCACGGATACACACCGTTCGGGGGAGTCCTTTCTCATCTCACATGTGTATCCTTTGCCGAAGCTCAAAAACTTCCCAGCGTGCCGGCCACAGCGCCGAAGGAGGAAGCTCCTATTATGTACAAATGGGACGGGTGTGGAGGCCAAAGCTCACCATGCTATTAATCATCTGTCACTTTCTTCAGAGAGTGTATCATTTTGCGCTATCTTTTTCACGTTTCGCTGAATTTTCCCTCGCCAAGCCACACAGTGTAAAGTGTACCATCATAATATGAATCATGTAGCGACATCCACAATATTTCTGCCCGCCCCTTTCCACGGCAAAGAAGCCCCCCCGCGCGCGTGGGGTGGAAAAGTAATTTCGATTAAACGGAAATGACATGGCAATTTGCTCACGAATAATGGCTTCATTTAAAAAAGGCTGAACTTATCGTGAAATGGGGGTTAGTCTTCCACTATGGCAAGGGTTGCGATCACGTCTCACACCGCTCGTGTGCGAAGGAGAGGGATGGCGCTATGAAATTTGCAACTTCAACCGTGCAATTGGGTGTAAAGGTGAGTTTTGCAATTTAAATGAGAGGTAAGAAAAATTATTCCTTCTCCTTTGCATCCTCATGAATAATAAAACTTATATTGTCTGGCCAATTATAGTGCTGTAAAATTGATTTCCTCCGTAGGTGTTGAATTTT